CATCACGCGCACATGATGCTATGTGCATGATACTTTCCGGCGTGCATGTGATTATTCTAGTAGGTAGATCTCCTTTTCAGTTTTATTTTGAAGAAAAAATTGTCTCAAAATGAGTTACAGAACTCTAGATGATCAAATTATTGAACAAATGTCAGGATATAAATTGTGCAGAAAATGCTTGTTTCTTAACAATTTTCACGATTTTTTGGATTTGCTTTGTTTCTTCGACTTCTTAATTTTCTTCATATTTATTCATATTTAGCTCATCTTTAACTCAAAATACCATTGAATTCATCATAAATACTCATAAGAATCATGTAATGACAAATGTCATCACAACCCCAAACTTACTATATTGCTTGTCTTCAAGTAACTTACCTACAACTGCAAATTTCAACAAAAAACAAAATGCTTACTCTTACTAATGAATATCACCTTTGTGTTTTTTACCTCATCATCACTTTTTCTCCCCCGCTTAAATCAAGATAAATTAGAAAAATTCTTCCAACGCAACAAGAACTCAACATGTCTCTCATCTCACTATTATTTCACTCACATTGACATGATAATCACACAATCAACATACAAAAGTATTTTAGCATAAGTTTGCAAAATTTATAACAAAATCAACCAAAGTCATCTAAACACACACTTTTGGAGTGCTTTTAAGGTTGTAATGGGGCTTATGTAAAGGTAGGATAATTTGGTATAGTAGGCTTAAACCTTTGGAGTTAGGTACCTAATTTTCCTTATGTTATCATATTTCTTTTCATATCAACTCTTGATTAATTAATCGTGCTAGAGATTAATATTGTATGGTCCTTATCATTGTTTTTCTCTTTCTTTTTGAAGAATTCGTTTTGAATTCTTGATTTTTCTAAAAAAGTTGAAATTTTGACCAATATCTCTAGTATCCAAACCCAAAACTTAAACTTTGCATATGACAAAGGAACTAAATTTTCTACCTAACTTCAAAGAGATGGTGGAAAGATTTAATCTTTCAAGTAAAATGGCTAATATATTTGGCTATGTCACCAAATGAAAGGGCTTAGACTCAAAGTGGCTAGCAAAGAATAAAGAATTTTTTATCTCTCTCGAGGGCGGCCGCCAAAAGTCACGGCGCCACCGAAGAACCAATTGTCTCCGGCCATCTCACCGGAGTTAAAGAGTGTGAAGCTTAGTGAAGAAGAAGATGAAGGAATAAATAGTGATAAAGGAGCAGAGAGTGCTACACCAAAGGAAACCCTAGATGAAACGAAAAAACCAAAAACCCTAAATGAAGAGAAGAAAACAATCGAACAGAAACTCTGGGTGGATGTTCTCAATGAGAATCAAAATCCAACAAAAGAAAAGGCTCTGCAATATATTGCTCCAACTGTGGTAAATGGAGAAGTGGAGATCAAGATAGAAGATGTTGATACTGAGTCTGAGATCTAATTCTAGAAGAACTCCCTCATTATTCATGTGCTAGGAGAAGAATTGAGCATGAACATGGTGAAGACCTACATGACGAAGACATGGAACTACCATAATGAAGGCTACTTCATCCTCAGATTCAAAACGATGGATAAGATAGATGCAGTGCTGATGAAGGGGCCTTATATAATTTTAGGTATGCCAATAATTCTAAAAGAACGAAAGCCTGGCTTTAACATGAAAAATGACATGTTGGGAACTCTCCCAATTTGGGTTAAACTACCTTAACTCTCATTGCAGTTATGGGGGATGCGAGCTTGAACAAAATTGGCAGTGCCATTGGTACTCTGTTGGTAACAGATGAATGTACAACAAACAAATTAAGAGTCTCCTATGCGCGAATATTAGTTGAGGTTGATATCACCCAAAAGTTGATTGAAGAAGTAACTATCAAGAAAAGTGAAGGGAAAAAAATGAAACAAATTGTGGAATACGAGTGGAAATCGGTTTTCTGTGAAAAATGCCAAACAGTTGGTCATAACCGTGAAGATAAAACCAAAAAGAAACAATGGCAGCCTAGACCAAAGCCAACTCAGCCAACACCAAATCTGGAAACCTCTACCATTGTTACAACACCAAACAAGGGAAACGACAATGGATATAATGAAAAGGACGAAGGTATCTGGAAAGCTGCAAGCAAAGCCAAAAGAGATAAAGGTAAGAACATAGATTTCATAGGAACATCTGCTGATATTCTCTGCACTAATGATTTCGACGTGCTAAGGGTTTTGAAAGACCCTTTAGTCACCATTGACAGGGGAACATGATTGTTTCTCGGAATGTAAGGGAGCTTAATAAGGCTGACAAGATCAAGGAGATTGACTCCCGTCTTCTAGATCTACAACCCATTATTGTTGTTTTAATTGAAACGAGGGTTAAGGCTACAAAAACTTCTGCTATTAGATCCAAGTTCAAGTTCAAAGGGTACTATCTAGAAAATTATATTAGTCATGATAATGGTAGATTGTGGGTGGAGTGGGATAATACTCAAGTGGATGTTAAATTTGTTAACTGCACAAGAGTTTATAATTTATCTAACTAATCAAACTTCCTTCATTCTACTATTTTAAACTTTAATAAAATTTCAAGATCCTTATCATAAATTTTAAAATATTTAAAGTATCATAATTTTAATAATATTTAAAAATAATAATTTGAGTGTTTATATTTTCCTATATGTATGAATTGACAAATGATTCTAATTACCATAATCACTAC